CTCAGAGAACAGGCTTAATCATTTTAGTTGAATCAGCTTTTGGAAGGCACTGGAATTAAAGACCCCCTGCTGTTCTCCCTCCTCTGGAAGTCACGCAGCATTTAAACTGTGAAGTGCAAGTGTGGATGCCTGTGTGTGAGAAGAGTGTGCGGCTCCACTGCACTGGAATACTCAAGGCAAATTTGCTTTCAGAGGGAATTAGAAAACAAAGGTCTCTCCTTTATTTAGGCAAACACAACACCATCAGCAAAGGGGTCCAGAAGAACTTCATGAGTTGTTCATACTGCACTTGGTAGGATGTGGTCAGGGGGAAAGCACACCTTCCATTTGTCAGACTTTACTACAACTGGTTTTCTTCACAAATGTAAGGCAGGGACTATGAATCTCACCAGACAGACACAAACAGTGGAGTTTTCATTGCCTTCACAGAAGAACGAAGACTTGTGGCTAGGTCATCTCTCTTACTCTCCCTCTCTCTCCAGTTCTCTCACATACAGACATTTTCTATACACTTAATCTTGGGTTAATTTCAGTGGGAAATATTAATACTTCAAAAGATATTTCTCAGAATTGGGATTAGGACTAAGACTATAGCACCAGAAAGCAAATAAATAAGTAATACAAACTAGCTGTAAAGTTTTAAACTGTTTTAAAAGGTGGAGTTAGAATCATACACTCTTAAGCTTGGATGATGTTTATGTGTGTATATAAGTATACACACGCATTATACACATGCACACACAAAGACACACACACATACCATATATAAAACTAGAGAAAAACACTCATACACCTATCACTCAGTTTCAACAGCAACCAACTAACTCATGGCCTATTTTATTTTAATTCTGTCTCCATTCAATCTCTCCAGCCCAACCACTACCACTGGATTATTCTGAAGTAAATATTTCAAATCAAGTCATTTCACCTGTAACTCTAAAAGGTAAACTCTCTTTTTTAACCTTATTATAATACCATTATCATACCCAAAATATAAAAAGTATATTTTAAAGGCCATCTTCTAATGTAAACCCCTAATTTGACAGGGAACAAATTGAGGCCCAAGGAGTTCAGGTCAGAGACAGGAATAAACCTGAATGTCTAACCTACTAACTGCATGATCTTTCTGAACACCACTGCTACAGAGGAACCAAGAATACTCAGCTTGCTTGAAATGGCTGGAATTTGAAATAAATGGAAAAAACTAAGAGAGGAAATTGTGTGACCAGGCTCTCAGTGACACAGAAAACAAGCAGTGACCCCCAGCACTCGTATTCCAACCTTTGCTCCCCCCATCCGCACAAATGGCCTTTCCCTCTCTTCCCTGCTTTTCCTCCTGTCTGTCTCCCCCAGGTAAACATGCCTTTCAGTTCTAAATCATTTATGCTCAAATCATCATCCTTAACAAGTAGCATCAACACTTTTAAGTAATTAGCATCATAGTTTGGGAAAAGAAGGTTCTGCATCCGGAGTTCTGAACGTGTGTTATCTGTTGCCCCTCCGAAGCCTTGCATCTCTTGGTCGCTTCTCAGGGCCGGGCAAGCAGGCAGGGACATGAGACTGAGAACCACTGCCCCTGTGTCCCTTGGGTGGCTTCTGCCTGTGATCTGTGCCTGAATATAAATGGCTCTATTACTGTTCCACGCAACAGCAGCCGCATATCTGAGTTTGCCCAACACTTCGGTGTGTTTTGCTGAGGAATGGAAACTTGTGATAAATGGGCTTTTGCTTGTTATGTGGAATTAGCATAAATTAATCCCTCTCCAATTTCAGCCTAAACAAGGTAGACATGTAGGGAAAAGTGCTGAATAGTTTGTCATTATTCTTGCACCGAGGAAAACATGAATGCAAACAGGACTCCAGTGACTCAATACTTTCAATCCTGGGCCCTGGCAAACATGGTTTCCAAAATCTTGTGAGAAACTCAGAAACACAGAGAATTATTACATTGTAATAATGAGGACCTGGGTTTATTATAATCATAGCAGTGGTAATAGCAATAATAGAAGTTGGCTTGTGAAAAGTGCCTGATACACTGTTGTTGTTAGTTGCTGTCAAATCATACAGTACCTGCTAAACAAACATTCATAGGTTACGTGTATGGGCCAATAAACATTATGATAAATGGAGAAAAAATTGAATTTGTCAATGATTCCATTCTACTTGGATTAAAAACCAACATCCATGGTAGCAACAATCAAAAAAGTCAAACATATTTCACTGGGCAAATCTATTGCAAAAACTCGCTATATTTTAAAAGTGAAGATGTCACTTTGATGACTAAGATGTACCTAACCAAACCATGGATTTTTCAATCACTTCATCTGATTGTGAAAGCTGACAATATTAAAAAAAAAAAAAGGATAGGAGAATAACTGATGCAGTCAAAGTGTGGTGTTGGCAAAGAGGATGGACTATACAGTGAACTGCCAAAAGAATGAACAAATCAGTCTTAGGAGAAGTGCCGTCAGAATCCTCCTTAGAAATTAGGACAGTGAGACTCCAACGTGCTTCCTTTGACACATCATCAGGAAAGACCAATCGCTAGTAGAGGACATCGTGTTTGGTGAGTAGAGGGTTAACAAAAACGAGCAAAACCCTCCATGACATGAACTGACACAACAGCCACAAGTCGAACTCACAAATACCAAACATAACGAGGACGATGCTAGAACACGCAACCTTCTGTTCCATTATCAATAAGGTTATTGTGACTCAGAGCCAATTCAATGGCAATGAACAACAAGGAAATCTACCCTTGGGGTTAAGTAACTGATAACGCATGCACTGCCATCGAGTTGATTCTGACTCCTAGTGACCCTCCCATTGGGTTTCCAAGGCTATAAATCTTTACAGAAGTAATTGGCCTCATCTTCCTCCTGCACAGCAGCAGCAGCTGGTCAGTTTGAACTGCTGACCTTCTGGATAGCAGCCAAATGTCTTACCCACTATACCCCCAGTGCTCCTTAAGTAACTGATAGGG